GCCGAGCGTGGAGAAGCCGCCGCCCAGGAGCACCGGCGGGAGATGAACATCCGGCTGCAGCGCAGGAGGGGCCGGAAGAGCCAGGTGGGAGGGCCCAGGCAGGAATCCCCAGGGGAAGGAGTCCACCCCCGGGATTCCCCTCAGCCAGGCCCTCGAGCAAGAGACTGGTTAGAGAGTCCCAGAGCCTGGCAATCCACTGCCAGTGTGAGATGTGCCGTGGCCTGTCCACGGCTGATGAGGAGAAACCTGGGGCCCCTCCATGTGCTGCTGAAGAGACCGGGATGTCAGGCATGCCGGGGGCTCAGCTAGAGACGAGCGTGTGCCCCAGGGACATGGCCACGTCCAGCGACAGCTGCAAAGGGGAGCAAGGTGCGTCCTACCAGTCGCTGATTCTGAGCCATGCAGCTGGGGCCGCCCTGTATGAAAGTCCCACTGGCACTGAGGACAGAGAGGATGCCCAGGGCCCGACCTGGGCACATACCCTCCAGCCAGCGACCAGAGAGGATGCAGCAGAAGGAGGTTTGGCTGACAGCCTTGCCTCCCCCCCAGCCAGCGGCCAGTGGCCGGCCAGACCCTCGGAGCAGCGCCCCCAGTCTGCGGAGGGGCTTTCCCAGTTCAGCACCGAGGGCGAGTGGGAGATGGTCGGGGACTGGGACAGCGAGGTCGTGGCAGCCTGGGAGGAGGAGGGAGCCAGCAGCCAGGCCTGGAAAGAGAGGAGTAAGACCCGGGAGAGACGTGGCATGGAAGAGACAGGCCCCAGGGCTGGAACCGGCATGAGGCAGACGAAGACGCGGGGGCCAACTGTAGCACCGTCCCATGACCAGCTCGCCCATGAACGGAAGGGCTCCACCTTCACCGGAATCATGCTGGGCTTCCTCAAGCGCGTCACCTCCCGGGCGTCGGCGGGGCAGCGAGGCCAGGACGACGGGCAGGTGGCTGCGCCCCATGAAGCCCTGCCGCCCCCTCAGAAACTTGCTCCGTCTTCCAAGGGCATGACCTTCAGCGCCGAGGTCCACGTGCAGGCAGAGGTCAGGAGATGCCAGGTATGGGTCGGCGGGGAGCAGGCAGAAGGTGCGGGGAGAAAGGAGTCACCCACAACCACACAGACCAGGGAGCTGCCAGGGAATGGGACGCCCCAGGAAGCTGGGGAGGCCGCTGCAGATGCCATGCAAGGAGAAAGGCATGGGGGCAGCATACCCAGAGAAGAGCCTTCCCTGGGTGGAACAGGGTTCTCAGCAGAGCCCGGCGGATACCAAGAATGGGCAGAGAGAGTGACTGAGTGCCGGGCCCCAATGGGGCACCTGCTGCACCCACAGCACCTTCCCCCCCATGGCCACCACCCCCAGCCCGCCCCACCGCCCGGGGCACCAGAGGAGGCACTCAGGAGGGAGAAGGAGGAGAAGGCATCAGGACTCTCAAGGGGGCAGACTCACGGCGACCGCGGGGGCGCAGGGCCGCGCCGCCCGGTACGTGGCCACGGCAGGTGCCTTCACCTCGGGCCAGCTGGACGAGCAAATGGTCGTCATCGGGCTGATTCTGGAGAAGAAGCTGGGCCTGCGTCATGGGCTGTACGCCTGGGAGCGCAGCCAGGAGAGGAGCAGAGCTGTCTGGGGAACGGGAGGCAGAAGAGACGGAGCCGGCACTGAGCGTGCAGGCGACCTGGGGGACACGGCCAAGGAAAGCCAGTGGAGGGATGGGAGCTGCGGGGAGCGGAGCCAGGAGGGGAGCAGAGCCCTATGGGGAACGGGAGGCAGAAGAGACGGAGCCGGCACTGAGCGTGCAGGCGACCTGGGGGACACGGCCAAGGAAAGCCAGTGGAGGGATGGGAGCTGCGGGGCCAGGGCTCACGTAGCTGCTGAATTTGTTGTGGAAGGAGCTACCAGGCCACCAAGGACGGATGCACCTCAAGGCCGAGGCACTGATCTTCCCCTGCCGGCTAGAGCCGAGAAATCAGGACCCGTCCGATGTCCCAGCGCCACAAGCCTGCAGCAGCAGGAGTACTTGGCAGGGGTCTTGCAGTCTGTCTCAGCAACCCTGAGCTCCAGCCAGACATCTCCCCAGGAGTCCTCCCGAGCAAGGCCCGGAGAGCAGAGTGGCCAGGGGCTCAGCCCTTCGGCCCGCCGAGGCCGGCCCAGGAGCCGGACGGAAGGCCTGTGGTCCAGAGGCAGGGCCAGAGGAGAATACAGCAGGAGGCTCCAGGCTTGGAGCAGAGACGGGAGATCCAGCAGCCGAGGCAGGCCCACCGGCAGAAGGAGACGGTCCAGAAGCAGAGAAGGGGAATCCACGGCTCGAGAGGGAGTCCAGGACTGGCAGGATGCACGCCGGAGGCCAGCCAATAGGAAGGGAGGAAATGCCACCCAGGACGCCTCGAGGAGAGTCCAAGCTTCCAGCCTGCAGCACCGTGGGCACCGGGTCATGGTGGAAACTCAGCTCCTGCAGTCAGGGGCACATCCCCCCAAGGGCGCGGGCTCCGTGAGCCGGTTCCACCAGCACCGAGCTCACGCCCACCATCACTACACATACGAGAGAGCAGTGGTGCTCCGCGGGGACCACCTGTGCACCCTGCGGGAGAGGATGCAGGCCCGACGGAGGAAGCTGTCCACGTCTCTCGACAGCGCCGCCTCCTGAGAG